TTTGTTGTATGAGCATTGCTTCCAAGATCATCAGTTCTTTTTTTACTATTTGATTTTACTAGTATTTTAGTATTGTTTGTGAGTAGCTATCTAATATTACTATGATCGTTATGCTGCTGATACCACTCTTGTTCGATAGGTGGCAGGTGAGTCTCCGTGAGATAGTGGTTGTTGTGTATTCTGTGTAAGATGTTTCGTATTTTGTATTTACAGAAACTAATTCTTTAAGTGGGCAAGCATACTCCTACACAACATTAGTCTTATCTAGGGAGTTGGAAGTTGGGATATATTATTTTTAATAACAAGGTTGCTCGTTTTTCGATTTTTTTAAAGTACATAATGAATCTGATGTATTTTATTTTTATTTTTATAAAAGTTGTTCAATTTAAAGAATGTAATTCTTTTGTGGGTCATATGTTATATGCTTTTTGTCCTAAAATAGGTTCGACGTACAAAACGTTAGGAACTTGTTATTACGCAGTATTCAACTAACTGTCGTCCGACATCGACTGACTCACCGACCGACTGACCGACGATATTCAGTCACCCACCCTCCACGAGGGCGTCATGTGGCACAAGGCCTTTTTAACGTGGGATCTCCGTGCCGTGGTCTCGGCCAAAAATATAAACGGGTTCAGGGTCGGTTTACCTCCCCGAAAGAGACTCCGCCCTTCGGCGTAGCCTCGTTCAGGTTCCTCCCCGCCCGAAGGCAAGGAGTTCAACCGATCAGCCCGTCAGCCGGTCGCCCGACTTCGGACTGAACGGTATTTAGTCACCCCCACCCCACGAGGGCATCATGTGGCACAAGGCCGGTTTAACGTGGGATCTCCGAGCCCGTGGGCTCGCCCCAAAATATGCCCTTTGAACACGTATAAACGGGTTCAGGGTAGGTTTACATCCCCGAAAGAGAGTTCGCCCTTCGGCGTAGCCTCATTCGGGTTCCTCCCCGACCGAAGGCAGAGAGTTCAACCGATCAGCCAGTCGACTGACTGACCGACGATATTCAGTCACCGCCCCCTACGAGGGCATCATGTGGCACAAGGCCGGTTTAACGTGGGATCTCCGAGCCCGTGGACTCGACCAAAAAATATGCCCATTGAACAAGTATAAACGGGTTCAGGATCGGTTTAACTCCCGAAATAGAGTTCGCCCTTCGCCCTTCAACCGTAGCCTCAACCGATCAGGTTCCTGACCGACGATATTCAGTCACCGCAGGCAGAGGGCATCATCAACCGGGATCTCAGAGTAGTGGACTCGACCAAAAAATACCCCATTGAACCGACGATATTCCCGAAATAAATTCGCACCGCCTCCTTCTTTCCTTGCCCGAATCCAGCATCAACCGATCAGCCAGTCGACTGACACCGACATTTTTAGTTCACCGCCCTACGAGGGCATCAAATGGCCGGTTTAACGTGGGATCTCCGAGCCCGTGGACTCGACCAAAAATATGCCCATTGAACAAGTATAAACGGGTTCAGGATCGGTTTACCTCCCCGAAATAGAGTTCGCCCTTCGGCGTAGCCCCCTTCGGGTTCCTCCCCGCCCGAAGGCAGAGAGTTCAACCGATCAGCCAGTCGACTGACTGACCGACGATATTCAGTCACCGCCCCCTACGAGGGCATCATGTGGCACAAGGCCGGTTTAACGTGGGATCTCCGAGCCCGTGGACTCGACCAAAAATATGCCCATTGAACAAGTATAAACGGGTTCAGGATCGGTTTACCTCCCCGAAAGAGAGTTCGCCCTTCGGCGTAGCCTCCTTCGGGTTCCTCCCCGCCCGAAGGCAGAGAGTTCAACCGATCAGCCAGTCGACTGACTGACCGACTCCTTCGTTACTCTTACTACTACTTATTATAGATGGGAGAGTCTATTAACTATAGAATAGGTGTGTTCCACCATAACAATTAATATGAAGATCAAAGTGTCGCTCTTAAACTTACGCCTGAATTAATGTAATATGCGGTTGACACGTATTGAACAAGGATTGGTTAATAAATATTAATTTGTAGATAAATTCTTTATTTTAAGCTAATGAATGTTTAGCAAAATATAGTCTCGAACTGTTAAAATCGCAAGCTATACAAGCACATAATGGTTTCACTAACATTAATCTGAGTACGATGGGTGGACAGGTGGTGTAATGAATAGCGCATCGGTATAGGACGTCGGTAAGCCAAGTTCGAATTCTAGTCGAGTTCGTTAATTTCACTTAAGCGGAAATGCACTTGAAAAGGGTAGGAATTCATCATCTATCCCCCAGTAGTGGATTAAATAGTTAGACTTGATCCGAAATAAATCCCAAAATTTGTTAATGCTCTATTCATTCCTCAACCCAAATTGTCTGCCCATATAAAATGTTTCTGCTTTATATAATAAACAAAAGGTTGATAAAAATTACTCTTTGGTGGCGTTTAGTCAAAAGTGAATGAGTCAAAAACGGTGCAATAGAACATTTTCTGGACTGAATGAAACAGATTCACAATATTTGCATTTTTATGACTGTTGCTGCGATTTGCGGGTCGCGGACATTAAAATCAAGCAGGTGTGGAAGTTTAAATATCTGGGAAGTTTTTTGACAGAGGACGGAAAGTGAGACACTGAGATCAGTAGACATATTGGGATGGCCTAGGACGCATTCCTCCGACAGGAATCGAACCTGTATCATATACGGAAGCCTGACGTGCTTTTACCGAGGAGGACGAATATTTTCTATGAAAATTTCTCGGAAATTCAGGCCGGTAAATGTTTAATACTGTTTATTATAAAAGAGAGCATTTACTTAAATATTTGTATCTATAAAAAGAATGTATAAACATAAAAATGTCTTAAAATAATTGTCGGACTTTGTCCATTTCATAATGTGTGAGGTCATTTGTTTACATTTGGATGCGCTTTGAACAGATATGAATGTACGTGAGAGATTCATTGAAGTTTAAAGACAGTAGATTCGACTTTGCTAACCGAACGCTCCTTCGTGGCCGAAGCGGTTAAAGGCACGTCAGGCTATATCACGGTTCTGTCGGAGTACGAATATTTTCTGTAAAAATTTCTCGGACCTTCAGGCCGGTAAATGTTATTAATACTGTTTATTATAAAACAGTGCATTTACTTAAATATTTGTATCTATAAAAAGATTGTATAAACATAAAGATATCTTCAAATAGGTGTTCATATTTAATCTTGAGATTCATTATTTATATATTGAATACTAGGGTTCATATTGAATAAGATTAAATCAAATTACGTACTGGCGTTCATAATTAATATTGGAATTCATTACATATTTCAAAGCAGAAGCTACGGGCGCTTTTTATTATTATAAAAATATAATCTGAGGTGGTTATCCATGACAACGCGTGTTGCTAAGGTATTTTATATTTCATTATTTTTACGTTTTATTTAAACTCTAAATAGTATTTAACATTTTTAATAGACATTTATAAGAAAATAAGTATTTTTTAAAATTTTTCATAGATACCTTTATCGTAATTATTCGGATAAGCTTTTCGCTATGGAACCTGGACTTTATGAATTTCAGTGCAGTACTAGATCGGCGGCGAGATTTCATTAATTTACTGTTGAGCGGTAGCCGGAAGTTCTATGCTAACAGTTCTTTTCTTCGCACTTCTCGCTTGTGGAACTCCCTCCCGGGCCCATGCTTCCCAGCCAATTTTTATCTACAAAAATTTCAATGCAAAGTCAATCGCTATCTAATATCCTCCTGATTACTCTTTTCTCTTCCAGCTCATTAATAATGTTTCTAATTCATCCACACCCTGTAACCCCTTGCTTTTTAGTGGCTTTAATACCTAGCTTGGGGTGATATCAATTTAAAAAAAAGAAATTTCTGTAACAAATCGCTTCTGAGGCAAGAGAGACGGAGAGAAACAACGCATAGCCCCCCCCCTGCCTAGAGAGTTTGAGTAAGTGGGTGGCAGTGCAAAGATTAGGAGAGATAACAAAAATACAGAACTTATTAACAGCTAAAAATGACAGGAAGTTGTGGAGAGTCATGATCGTCAACGTCCTGACAATGTAGAAGTTTACACATTCCATAAAAGAAAGTCAGTAGTTAATAGCATACGCGTGTTTATATATATATATATATATATATATATATATATATATATATATATATAATTATTTATTTAAAAATTATAACATAAATATGATATAAAATCACTCCAAAAATCGCTATTTAGTTTCAAAACCTCCGGTGTCTTATCAAGTGATGATTTTGAATGCCATTCAACATCATCACTTGATAAGACACTGGAGGTGTTAAAACAAAATGGATATTTTTGTAGTGATTTTATAACATATTTATGTTATAATTTTGAAATAAATAATTATATCTGCTCTACTCTGTATTGAGCACTCTTTTAAGAATAGCAATTGTTTGTTATTGGAATTTATTCCGTATACACCAATCATATACCTGTATATATATATATATATATATATATATATATATATATATATATATATATATTATTATTTTATTTTATATGCAGTACTTATTGGAAAGTGCTCGATATCAGTGACAGAGCTAACAAAGGGTTTGTCTGGAGATCGTAAAAGCGTGAAACCCAGGGTGATAAACTCATATCCATACAAATGAATATATATATATATATATATATATATATATATATATATATACTAGAAATATGATTTCTCTGCCATCCTCTCTGACATTGGATAAACTTTTCAGTTTCTCTCCTTAGAAAATACAAATCTGAATATCTCCCAAGGACCGACCCATTCTCCGTGTTCACTAAGCCAATATCTTTTGGCCAATTCCATACAAAACTATACAAAGGCTGACACATAAACGTAAAAGCCGATTCCGTCTTGGAGACTTTAGGCCAAGAGGTGTATTTTGGCGACTGAAGACAAGAACCATTGCACTCAGATCGTCCTTTGGGAGCCAGCGACATCTTCGTTTCCAATTTTGTATCCTGCCTACCAGGAAGATCTTTCTTTGGATAATAAAATCAGCGAACAATAGTTAAATGCCTTTGGAACCGGGAGTGGAGAAAGTCTGATGGCGAGTATAAACAATCATTCACATTGGCAACGATTCTGGACATTGAGAAAGATCCCGGGTGACGTTTTTGTAGAAGAGGAAGGAAGTAAAATAAGGAAGGAAAAATAGAGAGCGAATAAGAAAGAAAGAAAAAAAAAAGAAAGAAAAAAAAAGAAAGAACGAAAGACTGTGAGAAAGAGAAATAATGATAAAGAGGAAATAGTACAAGGACAGAAAAAGAAATAGGGAGGGATAAATAAAGAATTGAAGAGAGAGAAAGGGAGAAAGAGAAATAGAGAAGGTTAGAGAGAGAGAGAGAGAGAGAGAGAGAAAAGGAGGGAAAGAAAGAGAAATAAAGAGAGAGAAAGATAGAAAGGGAATAAGAAAGAAAGAAAGGAATGAAGAAATAATAGAGAAGACAGAAAAATGTTAGGAAGCGATAAATGAAGAAAGGATGAAATAGAACGGTAGAAAGAGAAACGGAGAAAGTTAGAGAGAGAAGGAATAAAAGGGAGGGAAAAATAGAAATATTAAGAAAGAAAAAGAAAGAAAGAAAGAAAGAAAGAAAGAAAGAAAGAAAGAAAGAATGAAAGAGAAATAAAGGAATAAAGATAGAAAGAAAATAATAGAGAGACAGACAAAAAGTATTACGAAGGGGTAAATAATGAAGGGATGAGAGAGAAAGGAAGAAAGAGAAATGGAGAAAGAGAGAAAGAATAAAAGGGAGGAAAAGAAAGAGAAATATAGAGTGAGAATGATAGAGAGGGAATAAGAAAGAAAGAAAGAAAGAAAAGAAAGAAAGAACGAAAGACTTTGAGAAAGAGAAATAATGATAAAGAGGAAATAGTACAAGGACAGAAACAGAAATAGGGAGGGATAAATAAAAGAAATGAGAAGGTTAGAAGAGAGAGAGAAGAATAAAAGGAGGGAAAGAAAGAGAAATAAGAGAGAAAAGATAGAAAATTAATAAGAAAGAAAAAAGAATAAAGAAAGAAGGGAATGAAGAGAAATAGAGAAGAAAGAAAAAGGATGAAATAGAAAGAAAGAAAAACGAAGAAAGAGAGAGAAAGAATAAAGGAAAAAAAATAGGGAATAAAAAAGAAAGAAAGAAAGAAACAAAGGAAAGAAAATAAATAATAAAGATAGAAAATAATAGACAGAAAAAAAAAAGTTAGAAGGGGATGAGAGATAAATGAAAAGAAAGGATGAAATAGAACGGTGATAGAAAGAAAAAGAAAGAAAGAAAAGAAAGAAAAAGGAAAGAAAGTTAGAGAAAGAGAAAATAATGATAAAGAAAATAAAAGGACAGAAACAAAATAGGAAAATAAAGAATTGAAGAAGAAGGAGAGAAATAGAAAGATAGAAAGAAATAAAAAGGAAAAAAGAAAGAAATAAGGAAAAGAAAGAAAGAAAAGAAAGAAATAAGGGAAGAAATAATAGAGAAAAAAAAATGTTAGGAAGCGATAAATGAAAAAAAGGATGAAATAGAACGGTAGAAAGAGAAACGGAGAAAGTTAGAGAGAAGAATAAAAAGGGAGGGAGAAAATAGAAATAAGGAGAGAAAGGAAAGAAAGAAAAAAGAAAAGAAAAAAAGAAAAGAAAGAAAGAAAGAAAAAAGAATGAAAATAGAAGACGGAAAAAATGTTAGAAGAAAATGAAAAAGGAATAGAACGGTAGAAAGATAAACGAAAAGTTAAATAATAAAAGGAGAGAAAAAAAATATTACGAAAAAAGGGGTAAATAATGAAGGGATGAATGAAAGAGAAATAAAGGAAAAGAAAAAGAAAATAATAGAGAGAGAGAAAAAGAAAGAATAAATGAAGGGATGAGAGCGAAAGAAAAGAAATGGAGAAAGAAAAAGAATAAATGGGCGGAAAAGAAAGAGAAATATAGAGTGAGAATGATAGATAGGGAATAAGAGTGTAAAATAGAATAGTGTGAGAGAACGATAGAGAGAAAATGAAAGAGTGGAAGATATATAAATAGGGAGAGAGAAAGTCAGAAAGGTAATAAGAGAGAAAGGGGAAGAAGAGAAATAGAGAAAGAAAAGAAAAAAAGACCACGAAGAGAAAGAGAGAAAGGAAACAGAAAAAGAGTAAACGAGAAAAGACGGGATAGAAATAGAATAGGGATAAGAAAGAAAGAAAGAAAGAAAGAAAGAAAGAAAGAAAGAAAGATAGATAGATAGATAGATAGATAGATAGATAGATAGAAATAGAGAGATAGAGAAAGCAAGAGTGAGATGTTATAATAGAGAGAGGAAGAAATACAAACAGGGAAAGATAAATTAAGAAGGAATATGAGAAAATGGAAGAAAGAGAAATAGACGGAGAAGGAATAAAAGAGAGGAAAAGAAAGGAATAAGGGGGTGGGTAAAATAAACGTATAAAGTGAAAGAGCATAAGAAATGAAGGAAAGAAAAATGGAGAGAAAAAGAAAGGGAATTAGAGAGACAGAAAGAAAGAAAAGAGAAATAGGGAGAGAGATAGAAAAGAGATAGAAATAGAGAGTGAGAAAGATAAAGAAGGAATAAGTGAGAAGTGAAGGGGGGTGAAATAGAGGAAGAAAATAGAAAGAAAGTAAGAGAAGAGAAGGAATAGAAATAGGGAGAGAAAGATAAAGACAGAATAAGAAATAAAGAAAGAGAAATAGATAGACAGGTAATATAAGGGAAGGAAAGAAAGGGAAATAAGGAGAGACAAATAGAAACGGAATAAGACTTAAACATTAAAAACGTTACAACGTGAGGACATTTTAAACATTAAAACCGTTGTAGTGTCCTGAGTAAGACGAGAAACTACGTCCGGCAGCAAGGCCTGACATTGGTAAGTTTTGAGGAGCACGCAAACACTTCTCAGTTGCTGTTGTTCCTAGTCCCACCCTGACCCGGAGTGGTAGCACCTGTTAGGGTCCAAGCTATGGGCAAATAGTGAACTCCCAAACAAAATATCAGCACATTTTTATAATATAACTAAACTATCCGTGACCCGCTGGGTCACTAACAGTTCAGATTATAAAACATTGACGTAGATTTCAACATTAAAATATTGTCTGTTTGGAGAAAGTTGAAATAAAAAAATACTTACTGTGTAAACAATTCGTATTTTTAAATCTTATTCACTTAAAATATATTTTTAAATCACATTAACTTAAAAATATATTTTTAATATGCCAAAAAATATTTTAAAATCATATTCACTTTAAAATATTTTTTAAATTTCAAATATATTTAAATGAGGCAAAAATATTTTTTAAATATTTAAAATATTGTTTGTTTAAAGAAAGTTGAAATATAAATAAGCACACACAAAAGCTCAGAGGTGGAAACAGAGAAGAGATAAGAGAGAGAGGGGGGAAAGAATGAGAAGTGAGAAGAGAGAAAGTTGGAAAGAGAGAGAGAGAGAGAGAGAGTTGGAAAGAGAGAGAGGTGGAAAGACAGACGTAGAAAGACGCTTAAATCATTATACACACACACCATTTCCTTCTCCCCCTTCCTACAAGATAATAAATTTACATCTTTCTTTCCCCCACTCTCTATATATGACTTCGTGTGGACGGTGGCAAACACACATGCAAGCAAGGAAAGTTCACAGAGTTTTAATATTATAAATATAGGCAACAATACATTTTTGTAGCAAAATGACAATCAATGCTACACTAAAAAATATAAGAATATATTTTTATAGTAAAATTACCAACAATATATTTTATGACCTACATAAATATATATATTAAAAACAAATCGTTAGTCAAAGTATAAAATTATGCAGAAAATATATTCAATTGAAGCCGTAAAATTGCGTACAAAATATTTCGATTTCGTCATTAGAGGTTGAAATGCCGCCAAACAAAATTAACCAACTAACAAACATGTATCTGCACGAAAGCTGACCAACGATATATTTTATCTGTACTTGAGGGCATACAAATGCGCTCAAAATATATTTAGTTGAAGCCATAAAATTGTGTTCAAAATATTTACATTGCGGTATTAAATAACCCGTAGTTATTGATATACCATTACGTAAAATTTCGCTCAAAATATATTTAGTTTAAGCTATAAAATTGTGTTCAAAATATTTACATTGCGGTATTAAATTACCCAAAGAGGTTGATATGCCGCTAAAAAAAACAACCTCCCCCCAAAAAAAAACCGTTACAACATGACATTTTAGTGTCCGATGTATTTTTATATTTTCACTTTTATAAAAGGTATTTGCGTAAAAAACCTGAGAAAAATAAAAAAGTTACCAACGAACATATAGTTTTAAATATTAGACACATTTAAATTATTATTCTAATTTACTAATTATTTTCTTATTTATGATACAGTAATTAGTGGGCTACAGGCTCTTAAATAAAAGCCTATGATTACTCCTGATTTTATTTTATTGCTTCAGTGGAAGTAAAAGTGTATAAGATTGTTATTATTTGTTGGTTTTCTACAGGCCTTTAGTTTTCTATCCTTATATGTGCCTATTAATATGATGTCCAAATATGGTTGCTTCTGTTTCGTAGCTGAAATCGACTGTATGTTCGAGCCTGTTTAATCTATCAAAAATTCATAGTAGTGGTGTGTCATATAGATATATTAATAAGGAATCATCACTGCATCGGAAATATATTACGTCTTTTGAGAGAATACACTGAAAGGGGCCAGATTGTAAAAATTCTAGGAAGAGTCATGTTATTACTCTACTGAGTGGTGATCCCATAGCTAGGCCAAATTTTTGTCTATAACTCCCAACCCGTTGAAAGTGATATAACATTGTTATGAGACACATAAACTACAGCAAATCCTAGAGATTGTAGTTTTTTATAGTGATGTTCACCCTGAAAGGGCTACTACTAGCTCGATTGGCCTGAGAGCCACTCGAGGTAGATTGTTAAAGAATAAGAGGCACAGTTTAGACGGATATATGGGAAAGATAACGGTTAGACTTAGATTTGAACACGTTAAGATTGTAGTGATCGGGAAAACATCCTCTTGGGAGTCGGTTCCACAGAGCAGGCGTTTTGCGCGAAGAAGCTGCTTGAGTGGAACTTACATCTCATCAATGGAAAACGAAGGGAATGAAGGTGGTTCGTTACAATGTGCGTAGCATGGCGGGTCTTAGCCATAAAGGTAAAAGTTGGTGAAACTAAGGAATGTAGTTCGTCTGAGCACTTTTCATGGAAATAGTGATAGAGCAGTAAGTGGCTTGCGACATTTCGTCTGTGAGAAAAGGGGTTGTAGTGTGAAAAATAGTTTGTCACCGACAAGGAGGCGGAGACGCTTTTGAACTCTTTCGAGCCTGGAAAGTGAAGACCGGACAACTCCTTCCCCGAGGTACTCCATTTTCAGCCTGATCTGGCTCTTGTAAAGGCAGAGGATTGTGCATGGAGTCAGGCACTTACTGGAGTGGTACAGGGAACCGACCCTTCTAGCAATGGTATCGTAGTGTTCGTATGTAAGCGCTCCACTTGAGGTCTGGGTTAAGGCTAAGGCCCACTAGTCGCTGAAGGTACGAGGCCTCCCCGATGGGACATCCATTCATCGTGATTGGTGAGGATTCGAAGGAAAGGGAGAAGAAAGGACTAAGCCTCAATTTTAAGAAATTGGAAACAGCCTAATATTTATTTTCTCTCCCCTTTTCTCTTTCTTCCCTTAATATCTGTTGCCTTCTGTTTTTCGTTTCGGAAATTGTGCTCGCCAGGTGTATGTCAATCAGGTTAACCAACAGGGAATTCAAAACTGAACCATTTAATTAATTAATAGGGGTTAGATTGTTCTTATTCTATTGCTCATGTCTAGGCATATCTCGTCTTGCTATTAATTTTTAGTACTGCTCAGTTATTGATCGCTGTTTTCACTGTGTGAAAATACACACTGCTCGCCACAATGATTGAACTTACAACCACTGTGTTACCAAATTCACAAGTCAACGCTTTAATCCACGGGGGTACCGTCCTCTACGATAGATAGATAGATAGATAGATAGATAGATAGATAGATATAGATAGATGGACCGAATGAGATAGATAGATAGATAGATAGATATAAACAGACTGAGATATGAACATACTGAGATAGATAGGTAGATAGATAGATATGAACAGACTGAGATAGATAGATAGATAGATAGATAGATAGGAACAGACTGAGATATGAACATACTGAGATAGATAGGTAGATAGATAGATATGAACAGACTGAGATAGATAGATAGATAGATAGATAGATAGATAGGAACAGACTGAGATAGATAGATAAATAAATAGATAGATAGATATGAACAGACTGATATAGATAAATAAATAGATTGATGGATATGAACAGACTGAGATAGATAGATAGATATTCTATTCATAGATATTTTAAAGACTGAGATAGATAAATAGATAGATAGATATAGAACAGACTGAGATAGATAGAAATTTAAATAGATAAATATGAACAGATATGATAGATAGAATATATAAATAGATAAATAGATATTAATATAACATATTATATATATATAGATAGATAGATAAATATATATTTCTTAGATAGATAGATAGATAGATAGATAGATATATGAAGAGACTGAGATAGACAGATAGGTAGATAGATATGAACAGACTGAGATAGAATAAAGTGGCAATCGAGAATTCCTAACTAAAATAAAGGCTAATAAATTGTTTAATTAATTCCCTTAGTATCTGTCTATATTTCTGAGATGAGGTATTTTGTACACTATTTACATTATTCGGACTATTGTCTTCATCTTTGTTGCCATACTCCTTTTTTTGAGGACACATGGCACAGTGGATAAAGGCGTTAGTTAGATCCCGTGACATAGACCCAAAGAGTGTGAGTTCAATACCCGGCTAAGGCAGTAGAGAACTTTCAGAGGGAAATTAGCAGGAGATGACTGATATACATTAAACATGGCATGTAGAACTAGAACAGTTTCTCTATATATTATTTACATTATTCGGACTATTGTCCTCATCTTTTAATTCACTTATTACTGCATTTTTTAAAAGGATTTTTTGTTATATTACATTTCTAATATTAATTTGATATATTTTATCTTTTTGTAATATTACATTTCTTACATAAAAATATATATATTACATATATTTTGTTTCTATATGGATTTCTGGGGTGAGGTGATCATTATTTACACTATTTACATTCGGACTATTGTCCCCATTTTTGTTGTTGTTGCCATCAACATTGATCAGGTGCATGTCAATCCGGATAGCTTACAGGGAATTCCAAACTGCTCGGGTAGACTGTTCTTGTTCCACTGCTTTTGACAAGGTATATCTCGTCTAGTTCTTATTTTTAGTATTGCTCACCCTGTTTTCACTGAGTCTAAGCAAACACTACCCAGCCCAGGTATTGAACCCACAATTTCTATCACCAAATTCATGAACCAATGCCTTAATCCACTAAGTTATTATCCTGTAATATAGGCAGTGTAAATCACACACTGTAAATCACAATGTTTTTTCCCTCTGGGCTGCATTTTAGGAAATTAAATTTGCTCTCGCCTCACTAAATTTTAAGTGATAAAAAGTACATTTAAATATAAAAAAAAAACAGACAGAGGATTAAAGGGAGATAACCGTGGATTCAAAGTCAGAACATTATCATTGATAACTCTCTCCTCCAAGTTGCAGACCCTAGTTACCATATTCTTAATATTTGATATAATGTTAAAATATCACAATAATAAAATCGATCAATAATTATTTATAACTATTTATACTGAGACTCATGCATGCAATTGCGAGTAATCCATAATAATATTTTAAATTTTGAAATTATATTTATTTTTGGCAAATGATTTTTTTGAAACTGTTTCTAAGTCTTTGATTGTCTTTCAATTATTCCGCCTCACCTGCTATCCTCTTCCTCATATGAGGCATGCTGTACCATTTGGGAGCTACTGGAGTAAATAATGTATTTTGTTATATTACATAATAAACGTTCAGAATTCAATGATAATCAGAAGCCACTGAAGTGTTTATACAATTAGTTCTATTATATGTGTCTTGTAAAAACTTCTTTTTAAAAACATATACCTGTTTATAATTACATTTGATATCAAACTGCTAAAATCGAGAAAGAATCTCCATCTATGCGTTGTAAATCTCAGAAGTCATTCCAGACCTGACAACTTAAACCAAAACCACTGGGAAATTAATTCCCTTATCGTTACGTTTCTTGTGAAACTTTTGTTTAATTAATATCCCTGAGAATCTCTTATTCTATTAGGTTGACCAGAAAGTCCTGATTCAATTAGGAAGCGGAAAGAAAACAAGAAAATTTTATGGAGCAACACCAACATTTTATTCTTCAAAATAAAGTTCATAATTCTCGATGATCTTCTACCATCGATCAGCCAGCATCTGAATCTGTCCCAGATACCCGTCCTTGGCTTTGAATAAAAAAAACAAAAAAACACTGTAAACAAGCTTCCTCCATTTCATCAAAAAATGTTGAATCGCTGGAAGAAGTGTGCCAATAAGCGGAATAGGGCTATAGTCACTCCGTGATCATACTGGATCTTAACGACACATGGCACAGTTGACAAAGGCGTTGGTTAGATCCAGTGACAAGAGGAATAAAAAGTTGTGAAAAAAATACCTCGTTAAGGCAATTTTAACTGCGGCACCATGCATACCTGACGAGCTGAAAAGAAATATTCATAGATATATGATTTGTTTTTTACGGTTTATCAACCATTTAATAATTATTTAGGGCCGAAAAATATTTTGGGTTTTAAGAATAATTCTTTCTTTACATTCAAGCGATCTGGAAGAAGGAAAGAAAAAAACGAAGAAAGAAAGAAAAAAAAAATAATACGAAAACAGGTCATAGGCGAACACACACACACGGCTTAACTAACAGATAACAGGTGTCGAAAAATATTCAGGTCAAGCATCTGACCAAAATCCGAGGAAAATGGAAGTTGTTATCAATTGGTTGTCATCCAAGGGAAAAAGAAAGAAAAAGAAAACGAAGTTTAACAATGAAAATATTGATAAGTAACAAGTGGAAAGTGTGTCATTGGAAAGATAGTAAAGGTCTAAGTGGGTGGGAAGTGTATCTAAAGGATATGAAGGCAAACCATTAATACGAAAACCCAGACAGTCTCCAGAATTGGAAAAAAGCCACAAAAAGATGATGTCGCTGAAATTTTTTTTTTTTTGAGATAATAAAGATTTTTTTTATCGGACCTTCGAGCGGAAGAAAAAATGAAATATTTTTATTTCGTTCAAAAAACGCCAACGGGTCTGAAAATCCCTTTCTTAGGTCATATCCAATTAGCGATAAACTGCTTGACAAATACCACGTGTTAAAAAAGCCGAAGGTGTCATCTCAGTCGCTCATGATAAGGGCGATTTAAATTAATATTTTTTTTTTTTTTAGCAAGGTGTTTCTTTCCCCAAAACAAAGCCACGGATTGTCCACGCCCGACTAAAGACGTCATTGGCTAAATAAGATCACATGACACACGAAGGAGGAGGAAAGATATCCGACCAGGACCTCATTGGCCGAGAGCGGTCACGTGACGCACGAGGAGAATCGGTCGACGCCCCTGTCAAAGTGTAAGTGTAAGGAGCCGATACGAAGAAGCGGGGAAGCGGGTATACGCCCCTCAGAGGCACAGTAAGGAAGTGGGAGTGAGAAAAGAGTTACCGAAAAATGGAAAATGGAAAATCCCTAACCAGAAATAAGAAGGGTGGATACGTATTTAGAATTATCGAAGAACCCCCCAAACAGACCCACCCCAGTTTTGACGCAATAAAAACGACCCCAACCGACCCAGGCAGAGTTCGTCCCCCCGCGCGCGGACGGCGGGCCAGTTCGTTGGGGCTAAGTTTTCGTTTGACTGCGTCAATAAAAGCAAAACCCCGACCGACCAGTTTCAGTTTGAGAAGAGCCGCGGACGGCGAAAGAGTTCAGCCGTGGACGACAAGCAGAGATGAGCGCCCAGTGTTGAAACCGCGTCAAGATAGCTGACCAAGATTCACGCACACTTTTTGGACTCTTCTTCAACCAAGAACAAGTAGTTTGAAGAGCGACTTAGAATCAGACCACAGAAATAAGTTTTTTTTTGACTTTCGTCCAAAGACACACCGAAACACAAATTTCTTAGAGAGCAGACAACTGGAAGCCTTAAAGTTGCCTAGTAAAAAGCGTCGTGCCACAATCCACAGAACGGGTCGGGAAGTAGACATAGTCCTATGTACCGAACAATTAGACATAAAAAGTTTTTACCTTTTTTCTTGATACGTTGGACCTTGTGAGTTTTTTTTTTTATTTTCTTTTATACATAATTGTGTGTTATCACCCCGTTGAACTCAACTTGCATTACGGCCCCAACCCTGTTTGATCTCGTCTGTCTAAGATCAATTCACAACGTGGGTAGGCAGACTGGAGATCAGTGCAGTTACCCTGGTAACCAGGCGTTGGAAGCGGGTTGGGAACGGCGAGGCTGGTATCAATCTAACCAGATTCTAAATCCAAAGGGTTAGAACGTCACGTTTGGAGCAGCGAGGAGCGAACAGCTGACGCCGCGGCAAAGACGTCACAGTTGGTGCTGTCCGTGACCAGGATATCAGAGCCTGGGGGAGCACGTGACGTCACAATTGGCGCCGCGACCGGGATCGAACGACACAGTCGACGCTGCGACCGGGGGACGACGTCACAGAACTTGGAGAGGGGAATTAACAGGAGATAACTGATAACTGACATCCATCAAACATGGGACGTGGAACTAGAACAGTCTACCCCAGCGAGCGAAATAAAGGGTTCAGTTCGACATTCCAACCATCTGAAGAAGGCCGGAGCGTACAACAGCCGAAACGTTGTAATAAGTATGGCGAAAAAGATGAGGATGATAATCTGAATAATGTAAATAGTGTAAAGAAAAATCTTCACTTGCTGTTTAACTATCACGCTTTCTGTTATTATCTTTTTTAAACAAAATGGCGAATCTTTCATTCGCTGTAATACTTTGATATCAACTGAGACCACATTTTTCAGTTAGCCAGAAAGTCCTGACTCATTTAGGAAGCAGAGAGAAGACAACAAAATGTTATGGAGCAACACCAACATTCATTCTTCAAAATAAAATCCTTCATTCTCGATGATCTTCTGCCAGCGGTCAGCCAGCATCTGAATCTGTCCCAGATACCAGTCCATTGGCTTTGGATAATAAAAAAAAAAAAAAACTGTAAACAAACTTCCTTCACTTTCCTCAAATGTGTTGAATCGCTGGTCGCGGAGGAAAAATGTCATTGAGCAGAATGGGTCATAGTCACTCGGAATTTCCATCGGCACTCAGTGGTGGATGTGGAAGATTCTCAACATCTGTTTGAACTTCTCCTAAGTCAACCTGGCAATGTGGCCTCGGATTGTCTTTCTGAAATAAAGTCTGACCTTGAATGTTGTGACGTCCCTCAACACAGCCTTCGCTCGCTCCTCGCTGCTTCTTTCGGGTGTCGCCGCTCCAAACGTGCCGTCCGCCTGTCTGCGTCAGTCGTGTTGTCCCGTCCTGTGACGATCAACTGGCTTGGTATTGGTCGCGGCACCCAAATGTGAATAAAAAAAACTGTAAA